TGGTTCTTGGCATTCCATTCGTATTTGGGAGCCATTTCTTTCCACCAAGGGTTTACCGAAGTAGTGATATTTAGAATTTTATGAACCCATTAGGCCAGACCTTGAACCCATGATGGTTCCCAATGAGTAGCTGGGATGAAGGAAACAAGAAGTCAGCAAAGAAGGAAATTTTCTTGTTACATGGAAAGGAAACAAAAGACCCGAAGACTTACGGAAAAGATTCCATGATTTAGGAAAGGCTGGTGTTGTGGTCGGGGTGATGTCCTGGGTAGCGATGACAACGGACCATTGCGTCTCGTTGTCGTCATCAACACTGGTTAGGAGGGCGTGAAGACCACTCTTGCTAAGATTCAACACACCCCCACAAAAAATCTTTTGGGAGTAGAGGTTCATCATATGTGCAAGATTTGTGGTTTCCCTAGTTTCAGCGCATAATTGGCGGAGGCAGGCCACCATACGCCATATGGATGGACCTTTGTGCCAAGCAGACTTGGTACAGGTGGTAGAATTCAAAGATTATTGGGTCAACTCCTTCACCTATTCCCAAGGTGAAATGACCCAAAGTGAAGGGGTACATATAAACGTATATGAACCCCAACTTGGAGTAGGTAACTCGCTCTATCGCATCGGGGTTGAGAATTTCGACGTTACCCCAACTGCATTCCTCCTCCCAACAGGGATGCTAGAAGGACGAATAGAAGAAAGGTATCTACAAACATGCCAAAACGTGTCACTTTTAGAGTTTGGAGGTGGTTTGTGTTCTTGAAGATCAGATGTCGTGTTAAGGTGAAATGGTATGATGGTGTTTACAGTTGGAGGTTCAGACTCGACGTCAACCTCCTTGGATTTATTCTTCTTTGGACCTCTATCAAAGAGAAGGCAAAAGTTTTCGGGGGCGACAGTGTTTGAAGACATGTTTATGAAGATTTTTTTTACTAAGAAGGTTGAATATTGCAGAAAAACTCTAAGGAGATTCAAAGAAGATGAAGGAGTTGTAAAAGTAAATAGTGAAAATGATGAGTTGTGGAGAAGTTATAGACGGCAAAAATCGTGGTCATGATTACCTCAAAACTGACAAAAATACTTGTTGAATCACGGAACAACATGTGTCAGGTTATTAAATGCGAGAAGATGTGCGTCCTTTCAAGTGTTAGAAATGGTTCAGGAAATGTCCCGCCAAGAAAAGAATTCTTATCTACTTTTCGGTAACACTGAGTTGCATCGCCGGAAAGTAGGAGGACTATCTATATGGGGTAAAATTGATTAATGACAGTTGGTCGAATGATGAGGTTACACGTTAAACCAAAGACAGGTGGAACGTGAGTCAGCAGATGACTGGCACCGGATGCGAGTGTGTGGCTAGTGCTCCATGGATCCCGAAGGCAGAGTAGCTGACAATAAAGATTCAAAGATTTGATATCGGATAGCATTTAATGAGCAGTCGTTACAGTGAATATCAGCATTCAAGGCCAACCGTTATGTAGTCATCAATGAGAGTTTTATTCTCATTCAAGAGAAGCTTGATTTGGGGATCTTGTATCCCTAAATAAGGGTATAAATAGGAGAATTATCATCATCGGAAGACACGAAATACTCTGTATACAAAAAGCTATAATCAACTGCCATATTACGCTCAATTTTAGCACTGGAACATTGCTTTCACTCTTGTCGTCGGAAAGGCTAAATTCTTAGTCAGGCTTGTTATCTTCTTAAGTTTCATTTGATAATCTTAAGTTTGCTCTTATTTAATTGTTATTTTTGGGTCAAATCGATTCACTTGTCTATAAATCATGCTATAAATTCAATTGTACCATTTTACATGTAAACAACTTTATTACTTGTCGACTGTGTATACTTTCGTGTGCGTTTGGATACAACAAACTGAGAGAACCTACATTTTGTTGGTTCCTAAAAAAAACATTTTTGAGCTCCAGCTTCCATCTTTCAGTTTGATCAAAAGAAGTTGAATTCTTTCTACATTAACTGGATAACAAGAATACTTTAGATGCCTACCTCTTGTTTGGGGAATTTTCACTGTAAAAATCCAAAAGCTACCCATTTTATGTCTGATTTATAGGGTTTTTGAGATGATACATGGGTTAAACTAAATAATCAACTGCAACTATGGCGGAAGCCAGATGAGCTTGTCACGATTCTTGAGAATGCAAGAAAAAGAGGACATGTGCCACATGACTTACCTCTTAAATAGAATGCAAGTTGCAAATCAACCATGAAATTTTAGTTTCTTTGTTTATGCTAATTAGAATATGATCTTCTAAATTTTGGGGGTTATATCTTTGAAGTGGAAGAGTGGATAAATAACTATTGAGAGCGGGATAAATCTGTAAGAAATGAGGAAGACAAACTAGGAAATAAATACGGCAAACGAAGAGGGATGTGGTGCAGAGAAGCTGAACAAGAAAGAAGATGGAAAAAAATAGAGAAAAAAGTTATTGTTCACGCGCTCACCTGTAAGTGAAAGTTACTCATTGAGCCATGAAGTGTTCAATAAGCACAATATTGACATATTTGGGGGTTTAATAGCTAGTGGAAAGTGGAGACGAGGAGAAGAAAAGGGAAAATAGGGAGCATTATAAGTTGGCTAAGAAAGAGGCAAAGCTGGCAATAACGGCGGCCAAGGCTGCAGCTTTTAGTCATTTGTATGAGGAACTCGAGGGCCGAGGTGGGATAAGAGGTTGTTCAAGTTAGCCAAGGCGCGAGAAAGGAACGCGCGTAACTTGGACCAAGTGAAGTGCATCAAGGACGAAGAAGGTAGAGTTTTGTTGGATGAGGGACTTATCCGTCGGCGATGACAGACCTACTTTCATAATCTCTTGAATGAGGAGGGGGACAGGAGCATTATACTGGGTGATTTGGAACTCTCGGGGAGTCGTTGTGACTTTGGGTATTGTAAGCGGATTAGAGCTGATGAAGTTGAGGGGGCTCTGTGTAAGATGAGCAAGGGTAAAGCGATCAGGCCGGATGAAATCCCGGTGGAGTTTTGGAAGAGTGCGGGCAAGGCAGGCTTGGAGTGGCTCACTAGGTTATTTAATGTCATTTTTAGAACGAAGAAGATACCCGATGAGTGGAGGTGGAGCACGATGGTTCCGATATACAAGAACAAGGGTGATATCCAAAATTGCAATAACTATCGAGTTATCAAGCTGCTTAGCCATACTATGGAAGTATGGGAGAGAGTGGTAGAGCTAAGGGTGAGGAGGGGTGTGTCTATTTCCGAACTAGTTTGGGTTTATACGGGGCGTTCGACAACAGAAGCCATCCACCTTGTTAGGAGATTGATGAAGCAATATAGGGAGAGAAAGAAGGACATGCATATGGTGTTCATTGACTTAGAAAAGGCGTACGATAAAGTTCCGAGGGAGATTTTGTGGAGATGTTTGGAGGCTAGAGGTGTACCTATTGCATACGTTAGGTTGACTAAGAACATGTATGATGGAGTAAAGACCCGAGTAAGGAAGGTGGGTGGGGACTCGAACCATTTTGCCGTTATGATGGGGTTGCATCAGGGGTTGGCACTCAGCCCTTTTTTGTTGCTTTGACGATGGACGTACTAACGTACCATATCCAAGGAGAGGTGCCATGGTGCATGCTATTTGTAGATGATATTGTATTGATTGACGAGACGCGAGATGGTGTAAATGTGAAATTAGAGGTATAGAAGCAGACCCTGGATTCTAAAGGTTTCAAGTTGAGCAGGACCAAGACAGAATACTTGGAGTGTAAGTTCAGTGGCGAGACTCGAGGAGGGGAAGGGGAGGTGAGGCTGGACTCGCAGATCATCCCTAGAAGTGGTAGTTTTAAGTACTTAGGGTCTATTATTCAGGGGGATGGGGAGATTGATAAAGATGTAAAACATCGTATTGGGGCGGGATGGATGAAATGGAGACTCGCTTCCGGTGTTTTATGTGACAAGAAGGTGCCACCGAAACTGAAACTTAAGGGTAAGTTCTACAGCGTGGTGGTCAGACCAATGATGTTGTATGTGGCTGAGTGTTGGCTAGTTAAGATCGCTCATGTCCAAAAGATGAAGGTAGCAGAGATGAGGATGTTGAGATAGATGTGCGGGCACACCAGCACTACTAAAAAATCAGGTTCTAGCGACGGACAAATTCTGTAGCTAAATAGAAAAATCTGTCGTTAATCTCATTTAGCGACGGATTAGCAACGGATTATCAAGAAATACTGTTAGCTACGAGCGTTTTAGTAACAGATTAGCGACGACGTTCGTAGCTAATTCCAGCTTTTTGTAGTGCATGTTAGATAGGATTGGAAATGAGGTTATTCGCGATAAGGTGGGTGTGGCCCCTATTGAGGACAAGACGCGGGAAGCGCGGCTTAGGTGGATTGGTCATTTGAGGAGGAGGAACACAGATGCCCCGGTGAGGAGGTGTGAGAGGTTGACATTGGAGGGCCTACGGATAGGTAAAGGTAGGCCAAAGAAGAGGTGGGGAGAGGTGATTAGGCAACACATGGTGTCGCTTCAGCTGACTGAGGACTTGACCCTTGATAAAAAGGTTTGGAGGTCGAGGGTTAGGGTAGTAGAGTAGGTAGTCTAGAGTGTTCATAAAAGTAGTATTGGCACGCAGTCTCGCTTTCTGTTAGTAGTAGGTTTTTCTGACTAACCGTTATTTTCTTTCATTGTTGATCACCTTACTATCTTGTTGTTTTTATTCTCCTTTTATTTGGTATTGTCCCTTTATGTCTGTATTTTCATTAATGTGGTGCTTATGCTTTCCTGAGTCAGGGTCTATTGGAAACAACCTCTCTATCCTCACAAGGTAAGGGTAAAGTGCTTTGCGTACACACTACCCTCCCCAGACCCTATAGTGTGGAATAATACTGGGTATGTTATTGTTGTTGTTGTTTAGGTGTTTAATAGGTAACAACTTTAGTTTTGGTATCTAAAGGGAAAATTGTGACAACTTTAAGTGGTTGCCTACGTATTGGTATATGGCGTCTTGCTTCCCTCATACCCGGGACTTTAAAAACAGAAAGACAACTAAGCAACGAAAATATATGGGCGAAGTTGTAAACGTGTATCCAAATTAGGGTACAAAGTGTAAACCAGCATCCTTGTTCGTAATTTTCGAACCTCTCTCTCCTGTCCAATTGCTGTAAGAATTATCGCAATTCAGCTCAGTTCTCAATGAAACTGCTAACCCTAACCCAAATTTTCTCAGGCCCGTGCCCAATTTCAACATTTCTCAGAACCTCAGTCCTGTGCTTCCCTTTATTTTGACGGGTAAAGGTAACAACTTGAATATATAGTACAAATTATACTTGCATGAAAATGTAGCCTGATAATGGTCCGTCCAAGTTACTATTGTTTTACTCTATGCATTTTACTATCAAATTTCTCGGATACCCATTTGTACTTGAATGTGTTTTTTTAGCATAGTATAATTTTAGTTGTGGACAATGGAGCTCGAACCGTTGGGAATCAGGAATGATGTGATTGAATTTGATATGTTTAGCTTAGGAGTAGGAGACGAAACCATTGACATTGAACACCCTATTGAAGGAGGGGAAAATAATCAATTAATGGAACCTTTTGATGGTATTGTTAGTGGTAGAATTTCTGGTGAAGTTTATGGGGATAGGAATCTTGAACCTTATGAAGGAATGGAGTTTGAGTCGGAAGAGGCTGCGAAAGCCTTCTATAATTTGTATGCACGTAGGGTAGGGTTTAGTACGCGTGTTAGCATGTCTAGGAGGTCTAGGCGTGATGGGGCTATTATTCAGAGGTCGTTTGTTTGTGCAAGAGAGGGGTTTCGTGTTGAGAAGGAGAAGCCTGAGCGTGATGGCGGTGGTGCTAGGATTAAGAGACCCCGAGCTGAGACTAGGGTCGGGTGTAAGGCGATGTTAGTTGTTAAGATTCAGAATTTGGGGAGATGGGTTGTGTCAGGATTTGTAAAAGAACATAACCATGAGCTTGTTCCACCTGATAAGGTGCATTGCCTGCGTTCACACCGACATGTGTCGGGACCAGCTAAATCGCTGATTGATACATTACAGGGAGCTGGAATTGGTCCGAGTGGGATAATGTCTACCTTGATCAAGGAGTATGGTGGAATTAGGAGTGTTGGATTTACGGAACGTGATTGTAGAAATTACATGAGAAGTAGTAAACAGAGAACTCTTGGGGGTGATACCCAAACTCTCCTTGATTATTTGAAACAAAAGCATTTGGAAAATCCATCGTTTTTCTATGCTGTTCAAGGAGATGAGGATCATTGTATGAGTAATATCTTTTGGGCTGACCCTAAGGCTCGGAGTAATTTTAGTTATTTCGGTGATACTGTCACTTTTGACACCGCTTACAGATCAAACAGGTATCGGTTACCATTTGCCCCATTCACAGGGGTAAATCATCATGGACAGCCAGTGCTATTTGGTTGTGCTCTCTTAATAAATGAATCCAAGGCATCTTTTAGTTGGTTGTTTAGTACTTGGCTGACGGCAATGTGTGGGAAGCCGCCAGTCTCAATCACAACTGACCATGATCGAGTGATTCGGTTGGCTGTTAAACAGGTTTTCCCCGAAGCACGTCACAGGTTCTGCAAATGGCATATTTTCAAAGAATGCCAAGAGAAGTTGTCCCACGTGCTCTCTGAGAATATTAATTTTGAAGCAGAATTTCATAAATGTGTAAGCTTGACGGAGTCCATTGAAGAGTTTGAAGCTTGTTGGTTTACCCTGATTGATAAGTATGATCTTGGGGAAAATGAGTGGCTTCAAGCTATTTACGCTGATCGCAAGCAATGGGTCCCGGTCTATTTGAGGGATACATTCTTTGCAGAAATGTCTATAATGCAGCATAGTGACAGTATAAATTCATATTTTGATGGGTATGTGAATGCATCAACTACTCTTCAACAATTCATTAAGCTGTATGAAAAGGCTGTAGAGAGTCGCTACGAGAAGGAAGTTAAAGCAGATTACGACACAATGCATATTGGCCCTGCTCTGAAGACCCCGTCACCCATGGAGAAGCAAGCTGCTGAGATTTATACAAGGAAACTGTTCATAAAGTTTCAAGAGGAGCTCGTTGAAACACTCACATTCTTGGCAACTAAAGTTGATGATAATGAAGCAACAACTGTATTTCAGGTGGCTAAATTCGGGGAGAGTCATAAGTCTTACGTAGTTCACTACAATGTCAGGGAAATTAAAGCGTCGTGTAGCTGTCAGATGTTTGAATATTCCGGTCTCCTTTGCCGGCATATACTAACAGTCTTCAGAGTCACCAATGTTCTCACGCTTCCTCCATGTTATGTTTTAAAGCGTTGGACTAGGAACGCTAAAAGTGGTCTCATGTTGGAAGAACAGACCTGTAATTTGTTAAATAGTTGTCAGGAATCTTTTAATGTCAGATATAACAATCTTCAGCGAGAAGCCTTCAAATATGTAGATGAAGGTGGGAAAGATGAGGAATGTTACCAGGTGGCTATGGATGCCTTGCGAGAAGCTGCAAATAAAGTTGCTATTGTTAAGAAAACCTGTGCGGGAGTTTCTAATTCTGGTGGAACTTGCAAAGGAGTGTTTGCCACTCAGGAGAGCCATGTAAATAATCCTTTCGAGGCTCGTCAATTGAGTGGAGGTCCTTCAACGCCTGTGGTAAGTTTATTTCTTATCTTTCTTTTATTTCAGATTTTCTTCACCAACATTTGTTTGTTTGCTTTTATTTTGTAGTTCTTTTTTTTTAAAGGTTGCATGGATTTATTTTGCCTTCCATCTTACAATGATTGCTCAGATCAATTCTCAAGTCAAATAAAATTATACATCTTAGATAAATGTTTTTTCCACTATAATTGCTGATCCAGCCATAAGAATTGTAGTTTGAATTTGATCAGTGCTTACATTTTTAGTTTGTTTTACACCTTCAGATATCTTCCTCTGTGTTGGCTTAACATATTCCTCTATTCTTTACGTCTTCACAAATATCTCTGCATGTTATTATTATCATTTTATTGCAAGTAATCTGCACTTGTAATGATTGGGCACAAATTTCATTGGCAATATCATGATGAATGATAGGGCAGAATGGTGGCCAATTCCTTTCCTCTACAACAACAGCAGCTGCCAAAGAAAAAGGGGAGAACAGAAACGATATCAATTTTCACGAAAGAAAACTTTTGATTTAGTTCAAGAACACAACGACGTAATATATACGCAGTGGAGAAATACCTCCTGCTTAGGCCTCTTCTCTCCTTTTCACTTCCTATAAAAAACCAAGAACACTGGAAATTAATAGCGTATAAAATGCTAAATAACAAAATACAGTCTTATAACAAGTTGGTGTCAGCTATATACTGACGATGTTACTCCATATAAATGCATCTCAGGCCAATATTATCCAAAACAAAAATAATAGTTATTTAAAAAAGTACTAGGAGTTTATTATATTTTCTACTGACTTATAAATCTCTAGAAGGATAAACAACTTCAAGATGAAGAAAGCTATTTGACAAAACTCTGGATTGTGTACTTAACGGAAGATAAGCAAAGGCATAACAAGAAACCACCGTAGAGTGCAAAGCAAACCTACAAGGAAATCAATAGATGAGTCAATATTATTAGCTATATTGACTCAGTACTTTAAGTAGGGATGGCAATGGGGCGGGGCGGGTTTGAGATCATGCGGGTGCGGTGCGGGTACTGACAAATGCGGGGCGGGGCGGGTGCGGGGCGGGTTTGAACATCTTTTAGAAACTAAAAGCGGTTGCGGGGCGGTTGCGGGTNTAGAAACTAAAAGCGGTTGCGGGGCAGTTGCGGGTTGATAATCATGTGAGATGGGTTCATCAGTTTCCAAAAAATTTGTCACTGAGTGTACATACTGTTGAAGCATTTATTCTTATACTTTTCCCTAAAATGAGATTTCGGATGTTTAATATTTAAGGATGTGGTTATTATTTATTGGAAAAATCTAATTCTTCTTTTCCTCTTTTCTTTTTTTATTTTCTCATTCATGTTTTCCCCTTCTTCTCTTTTGAAATAAATCTGCTCATGTAAAATAAAATAACAATGAGAAGAAACAAAGTTATTAATCCTGTAATCCAGTAGCCAACTCTGGAAGTATGAATTTTTGTAAGACTAAATACTGATATATAATCAACAGAGCCAGAAGCAAATTTCAACGGGTATTTAACAAATGAGAAGATTTGTTAACTGACATAGAACAAAAAATTTTAGACGAACTTGCTCATAAAGAGCGTATAGAAGAAAACTGGAATTTTTTCGTTAGGTGGGGCAGGGCGGGGCGGGTTGAAAACAAAAAAAAATTGCTATGCGGGGCGGTGCGGGTTGAAGCTTTGCGGGTTAAACTTAAACCCGCACCGCAACCGCCCCGCCCCGCCCCACTGCCATCTCTAACTTTAAGTTGAAACTTTCTAGCCTTGAGGGAGTGTCTCTTGGATCATTTGGCATATTGTTGGCTTCAAATTTGATGTTGTTTATCAATTTATTTTCTATCTGCAGATTGTTCTTTCTTTTCTCTCTGGGTTCTTCTACTCGAACAATGTTGTCTGCACTCACGATGAATCGGATAAGATGTTCACCCAACTCTAATGCCCGTTCTTTCTTTTCCAAAGAACATGGGAAAATGGGGTCCCTATATAATCCATTTGTGTAATTCATCCTCTTTCATCGACTATGTGAAACTGCTCGAGGATTCTTGACTCATCTATTGATTTCCTTGTAGGATGAACAGGACAAGAAAATACAGAAACTTACATGGAAGCTGGAACGTGCAAGACAAAAATGTGAATTATATCGGACTAACTTAATGACGGTCTTGAAAGATATTGAGCAGCAGAAGCTTCAGTTAACAGTTAAAGTTCAGAGTATTAAGTTAGGCATGAAAGGTTAAAATTGTCTGTTTTGTGTATTTGAATGAATCTACAATCCACGACGCCCTAGACCCACACACAACTATTATTCTTTAGTTTTTTCTGCTAGAGTGATAGATTTTATGCTATATTTACTCTACCTATCTATTAAGTTGTTCACCGAAGTCTACCCGATTGATATAATTTTTTGTGTTATTTTAACAAAATATTTCTCAAATTTGCAAATTCAGTTTAGATCAAACCACCTCAAATCTGCTACAAATGATCTCAAATTTTGAAACAAAGCTTCCAAATACCAACTCAAATAATTTACAATCACCAATTAAGTCAAATAACACCAAATGAAAAAGATTCACTTTGTCATCTTCAACACTTTATAAGTTGCAACAATAGAGTTTTGAGCTTTTCTAACAGTAAATAACTAAATTGTTAATTGAACTAAAAAGTAAAGTATAATTAGGAATATTGAAACGATGATCATTAACCTTCTACTTTTCACCATCAAATAAGAATTTCAAACTTTAAATATTAAAAAATTATAGTGTTAGAGTAAAAAAAAAAATTGCTGACTGTAAAAAAAGGGAACATTGTGCTAAGACCAATCCTTTGGGGTGATTTTTAAAAATAGCCAGATTTACAACTGGTCGTTCAAAAATAGCTCAATTTCAAAAGTAATCGAAATTTAGCCACTTTTTATGTAAAGTATACTTATGCTGGAACTCCAGCATAATATACTGGAGTATTTTCCGGGTTTTGAACAGTGTTTTCGCTCAGATTTACATCTGAAACTTGAGGGTCAAATAAGCTCGAGTCGTAACCCAATTCGGAGACAGAACCCAAAATATTTAACTACATATGCCTCAGGGAAGAGCGTAAGAGCCATTGTCGCCAGCCTAATAAGCCTCAGGGCCATTCGCATAAAAGATCGCTTCGATCGAAGGCGTAAGAGCCATTGTCGCCGGCCCATGCAAACATAAAAAGCTTGAGGGCCATACGGGCTCGAGTCGAAACCCGACTCGGAGACTTTACCCAAAACAGTTGAGCAAAAGCATAAGAGCTCAAATGCCAGCTTGAAGTAGAGGTCGCATCGACTGAGTGCGTAAAAGCCCCCAGGCCAGCCTAATGAGCCCCAGGGCCATATGACGAATCTAAGTATTCTCACCGACTCTGAGACCAGTTCACCTGGCCAAATAAGGGACAAAAAAGGGAATAGAAGAACTAAAGCTGCAAAGGGTTTTCTTTTATACACATACGCAAAAATATACATTCTCCGTATACAAACATACTCTAAAGATACTACAACGGAATGGAAAAGTCTACGCCCTACCCCTGAGAGCTACGGCCTACCGGCCTCATCTTTGCTCTCCTCGGCGTCGGACACGAGTAACCGAGCACCATGCTCGTCCGCCCTCGCTCGCGCTTACTCTTCTGAGAGAACAAAACCCCTGGCACCAACCTCCTCGAGAATCTTTCTTCGAGACCTGCAACGAGCATATTCTTTGATCCTCTCTTCACGATCGAGGACCCTCTTCAACTCAGTTTGAGCATCAGTAGCGTCCTTCAAATAAATCGCCATCTCCTGATCAGCCTTAGTTCAGCTTAATACTGCTCTGGTCCGGGCATCAACAATCTCAGCCCTGACTTTCGAATGCTCGGATTCGAGCTTCGTGATCATATCCGCTTGAACTAAAGAATTATCACGAGCTAAGCGGAGTTGAACCTCGAAGGCAGGAACTTTAGCCAAAGCATCCTTCTCTCTAAAGCCTGAGCCTCCGCCCGAGCTCTTAGTTCGTCACAGTCATTCTTGACACATTCAGCTTCGTCCCGAAGACGTTCCAGGGCCTCCGTATTTTTCTGCAAGTCGGATAAACAACTGTTAGCTTCAGAAGCCAAAAGGCAGGACGCATGCTTGCCTGGGACGGAAAGTTACCTGCTCCATCAAATAGCTCTCGTAATTTGAGCTCCGGTACGCCTCATATCGCTAGTGTGCCAACTCGATTTCCTTTTCCTCACAAAGGAACCTAAGGATCTATCATCATCCAGAGCTTTCCGGAGCCTGGCTCACTGAAAGATCAGCTCAAACCTAAGCCTGTCAAAAGCCTGCAAAAGAAAAACTCGATAAGGAAGGGAAGACGCGGAATTCGGAAGGCCTATGTCGAAACTCACCACAAAGTGCAGCCGGCGGACTTTCTCGAAGGCTGAGCACACATATGTTGATCTAGTCTCCTCAGCCCTTGAAGAATCGACCCCGGTCGAAGCACGATCGCTCGGAGAGGCCATCTTTCCAGAACCAAAAACTTCAGGCGCGACAGGCTCAGACGATGTTTCCATCTCGAAGACGCGGCTCCGTTTCGCCTTGCTCTGAGCGCCATCGCCCTGCAAGGGCATATCCCGCTTATTGTTAGCATCCTTTATCCCGGGAACTGGAAACCCCTCCCCCTCTCCGAAGGAGCACGACCTCGCCTCTAAAGGCTCTCCGACACCTACGGCAACAAGATTAATACGCAGAAAGGAAATATGTCTCTCTAAATGAAGAGGGTAAGGAAAAGGTAGCACGCAAACACACCGTGATGTTTCGCTTCCCATCTGCCCCGGGATATGGCTCGCCACCTACACTCATTACAAGCTGAGTGGGTCGCCAACTCCAGACCCAACCAGGCAGATCAGGAACGTCGCCCATCGCCCATGAAGTCGCTACAGAAAGAGAAAAAACATGGTTACAAACTAGCCTTCGCCAGAAACAAATCTGAGAAGGCACGGGATGTACCACTTACGTGTAAAATTCCATTCCTCGGGGAATAGCATAAATTCCACAGGGATGACGTCAACAGCCCGGACCCGGACGAACCGACTCATCCACTCTCGATCTCTGCCCTCCTCATCGTCGATAATGAAAGGTGTGGTCGACCGACACCGCAAGGTTAGTAGACCTCGATGGTGAAATGGTCGATACAGCCTAATGAGATGATTGAGCGTAAATTCAAGACCCGCCTTCTCCGCAAAAAACCTCATCATCAGCACCATTCGCCAAAACGACGGATGTATCTGCGCCAAGGTAACCCAGTACTTCGAATAGAAGTCGAGCACAACCCTGTCGAGAGGTCCCAATGTGAAAGGATGCGTATACACGTTCAGGAATCCATCAACATGATCCGAGATGCCCTCATCCAGGGAAAGAGTCTGTAACACCACTCTCTCCCCCCATCCGCAGTCTCTCCTCACTAACTCAAGGTGCCCCTCTCCTATCGAAGAAATAATCTTCAAAGAAGACTCTCTTTGATCCTGAGCATCGGGAGTGGGACTCTCCCCTCTCTGTTGAACAGGCCCCGATGTAACAGTCATGGCTACGACAAGACTAGAGGAACTGAAGCAGGAATCTGCACATATACTTTGGCGCTAGAGGTAATGAGGGGCTCAACGCCGAAACGGGGGGATAACTATCTAAAATGAGGAAACCCCTAAAAGAACGGAAGCAACCCTATATATATGTGGAAAACAGCAATGGTCCGCCTACCAAAGTTAGGCCCCGGAAGGCCAATGACTTCGACGCAAGTCCCGAGGTGGTACCCGACCTCGAGGATATCCATCAAAAAAAGTTAGGCTTTAAGAAGCCAACGGCATCATCTCCAGTTCTGAGGTGGTACCAGACCTCGAGGATCTCCATCAAAAGAAATTAGGCTTTAAGAAGCCAACGGCGTCATCTCCAGTTCCGAGGTGGTACCCGACCTCGAGGATCTCCATCAAAGGAAGTTAGGCTTCAAGAAGCCAACAACGTCATCTCCAATTCCGAGGTGGTACCCGACCTCGAGGATCTCCATCAGAGGAAGTTAGGCTTTAAGAAGGTAACGACGTCATCTCCAGTTCTGAGGTAGTACCCAACCTCGAGGATCTCCGTCAAAAGAAGTTAGGATTTAAGAAGCCAGCGGTACCATCTCCAATCTAAAGATGATATCCGATCTTGAAGGGCTCTCAAGAAGAGGAACAAGCACTTCGAGCTCCGTCCATAAGGGCTCGACCTCAGAACATCGCCTAAATCTGGGCAACCCCTCATCAGGATCCTATCTACAAAGCCTTAAAAGTCTAGCTAAATCAAACTCAAAACAAGTTTCCATGTGCCCAAAGCTAACCCTCACTCAGAGACCGTTCTCAAAAGTTTCAAGGCTCGAGGTATTATTTTCATATGATCCAAAAGTGAAGGTCCCGAAGGCCCGAATCTATCGGACCAATTCGAGCTTGGTCCGAGGGACAACAGAGGTGCGGTTTCTATCGACCGAAGGCCAGAAAGAGCACTCGCACTTGAGTTAGGTATCGACGACAGTCAACAAACACACACAGTCAGAGTCTCCACAAGTGTTAAAGAAAATGACAAGCATCAAAGACGAAAGTCGAAAAAATGTCTTTATATTCATAAACATTTGCTTACAGCGACTCGCGGAGGGTCCTTACATATAATTACAAAAGCCCACAAGGGTTTCTTACACAGAAACAAAGAGGAAAAAGGGGATACATGAAATAAAAGCCTAGAGCCTAGCCTATTCTCAAGGGTGCGACCTCGACAGCAGCATCTTCAGGTATCTTCCCCTTGGGGACATGACCTCAAAGACAATATATTCCAAAGTGCCATCCCCTCAAAGCCTTACCTTGACCCCCCAGAATGGCATCTTCAAAAGGGAAGATCTAGAAGGGGAAAGCGATGGAGAAGAGCAAAATGACGAAGGAGAAGCCGAAAAGAGCGAAGAAGTGGCTGGGTGAAAAATCTGGCTGATGCGAACTCCGCCAGTACTACTATTATAAAGCCACTTCTTGGGACGTTGCCCCGGCACGGGATGCAACAGTTAGTAGACAAGTGCCACCATACCCCAAGGAATCCAAAAGGAGTGTAGTGCGCCAAGCCGGGGTAGGAGGGTGAGCAGCAGAGTATAGTTCGAGCGCCCTCATGAGTAGCGGTGTAGAGTCTGAACGTCCTTCTAGACCGGAAGAAGCCAGTCGTCCTTGTATCGTCATCTCGGAACGACAACAACAACAACAACAACAACAACGGTGAAATAGCAAAATCTCACTCAACTAAGGGAAGTTCAAGGGGTAAACCTTGGCGTGGCCAATATAAGCACGGCTAGATGATCGCGAGGCCATGGGCCTCAATCATGGCGAATGATGGTTAAGG